CAAGAAAACTTCTGAAGTCATTTTATGAATTTTTAGAATTGAAGATCGAGTCCTTTTGTGGTGAGCTTCAGTAGAAATTAGCTCCGAACAATAAAGTGCCAGCCTCTAATTGAATGCTACCCCCTAATACAGTGCCACCCCAGACCACCCCCGAACAATTGAGCTCAAAGTTGTCGGTTTCGAGAAGGTTCTGTCAAAGGAAGTACGGTTTTTCTATTCCATACACTTTCTCACTTCCCTTTCCAACGACCCCCGTATAGGGTGGGCTTCGAAATACGATAATCCTTTTTTAAGCCTCAATTTTCTTCAACTTTCCAATGTTCCAGAGCGGATTTCTCCCCTTCGTTCGATGGTACTTCTCTCGAATTCTCATTTTCACAATATTGCTCATCAAATGGGTCGGCATGGTACTGTGTGCGGCGATGAGCTTGGCTGTGGTGGCTGGAAGTGTCTTTTTTGCCATTTTTCTCATTTACAATGGCATTCAAATCGCATGCCAGTGCTCTTTAAATGAAGGTAAACCTGTGTAGCTGGGCTCAAAAAACCAAAAATTCGATTGCAATTATTTTTTCAGGATTCGTAGTTTTAATTGCTCTGATCCTTCTTCCAATTATCATTCTACTCACTACCCTTTGCTGTAACAACTCTTTGGATCGATATCATGCTGATGTGGAAAGTGGGAAAGTTGAGAGGTAATTAGTCTGGTCTTAATTGGTCAATTAAACGTTAATCATAAAGCAATTTTCTATTTTCAGAAGTCGCTATGTCATGAAAACGCCTGTGAAGGATATAATAGTAGGAGGATATATCCTAGTGGAGGGTAAGCCAGACCAAGATGCTCCAGAGGAAAATTCCAGAAAAGTGAGTTCAAATAGGATTATTTTAGAAATTGAAAAAGCTAAAATGTGTACAATTTTATGCTGATTGTTTTAAAAGTTAATTTTTTTAAATAGCTATTCTAGTTTTTGAGATATGCGTCTTTAAAGAAGCCCACTTCAAAAAGGGTCTAGTTGTCTGCATCCCAACTTTAAAGGTGGATAACTCCAAAACTAAAAACGCTAGACAAAAGTTTTTGACTAGTAAATTATGTAAAATATTATGTTTCTTATTTTAGCAGTTGACAACTTTTTGATAGCTATTCCAGTTTTTGAGATATGCGCCTTAAAAAGAAACGTGGTTCCAAAGACGAAAGGGGAGTGTGTCTCACTGTGTACCTCTACTTAAAGGCGCATAGCTCCGAAACAAAAAAAACTAGGAGCAAGTTTTTAACCAGTAAATTAAGTAAAATTGTATAATTTTTATTTTTCTAGTTGCCAATTTTTCCCTAGTTTTTTTAGTTTTCGAGATATGCGTCTTTAAAGTTGCTTGCCCTCGAAGAGACGCAGACAGCTAGACACTCTAGCTTCTCTGCGTCTCTTTGGTCTAGCCTAAATTAGGTGCCACTTTTTTATCTGTTTATTGAAATCTCTGGCACGAATTGCGATGTATTTTCATAGATTTTCATAGATTTTCAACATAGACAAGATAAAATCCGGTGTTTTCCGATTTTTTTCGTTTTATTTGGATTTGGCGATCGGAAAAAAAACGAGAAAAAATGGCATGCCATTCTGGCTCTGAAATAGTAGAGACGCAGACAATTAGATACTCTAGCTTCTCTGCGTCTCCTCGTTCTGAAAGAGACAAAGAGAAGCTAGAGTGCGCTAACTGTCTCCGTCTCTCCCCCCTGGCTCTGAACTGCTGAATTTTTAAAGGCGCATAACTCAGAAACTAAAAAAGATGGGGAAAAGTATTCAACTGATAAAATGTATAACATTTTATGCTTATCATTTTTGTGACAAACAAAATTTTGATAGCACTTCTAGATTTTGAGTTATGCGCCTTTAAAGAGACGCACTGTAGGGTTGCAAGGCGTGTTGGCATCTTTAAAGGCACATAGCTCCAAAACTAAAAAAGCTGGAAAAAAGTTGTCAACTAGAAAAATGTGTAAAATTTTATGCTCATTATTTTTATAATTGACAAAATTGTGATAAAATTTTTAGAATTTAAGATATATCAGTTTTACTAAAGCATATTCAAAATTCCAGGGAACGGGGTGGAAGGGGCGCCAAGGATCACTTGGAAATATAAGATTTTTCAAATTAATAATCTTCAAAATTTCCAAAATCCTGTTAGCCATTTTTCAAAATCTTCAGTGCTAAAACTGAAATTCCCGAAAAATCGGACTATAGTTTTTTATGAAAATTTCCCAAAAATTTTTCCAAACAAAATTCTTTTTTTTCAGATTGGCATCGCCGAGGGAATCTCTCAGCTGAATCGTGGAGTTGGATTCTTGCGGGATGTCGCTAAAATTGCCTAATTATCTAATTAATTACCCAATATGTAATTATCTTTGCATGTTGCCCATCCCAGTTTGAAAAAAATCGTTTTTCTTCGTTCTTTTTTCTTTTTTACGCATCGGAACAAAAGATTTTAATCGGATGATGATCCAAGAATTCAGGAAAGACCCGGTTTCTGCCATTTGGAAGATTTGAAGAAGATTCAAAAATTGCGATAAAGAATTTTCGGGCGCTTCTCTTCCTCGAGGTAATTTTGCCATTTGTTTCATTGTTGATCCCAGAAAATGCGAAGACGAGGCTCGAAAATTTTCTATTCTCTTTTAATCCTGATCATGGTCACTTTTTTCGGTGAGCTTTTCTTAAAATTTCATACATATTACCACTTTTAAAGATTCTCTAGCTTTTCAAGTTCCAAAATTAAACATTCTTGAAAAATCGAATTTATCTGAAAAACTAAAAAAGCTAGAAAACATTTGTTAACTAACAAAATAAAAAGCGTACAATTATACACATTTTTGTAGTTGATAACTTTTTGGTACTGTGATTAGTTTTTGAGATATGCGCCTTTAAAGTCACAGCTATCGAGAGAGAGGGGGAGGGTAGAGAGACGCAGGGAAACTAGAGTGCCTAGCTGCCTGCGTCTCACTAACTCTGTCTTACTGTAATTTTAAAAATGCTTATCATTTTTTTTTGTGATTTTCTTGAGTTTTACGTCTTCATAACTTTTCTCTAGCCTCTTCAGTTTTCGAGAAGCTTCATTTCAAAAAAATTGTCAACCTTCAAAAATTGAACTCTATCTCAAAAACTAAAAAAGCTACAGAAAAATTTGCTAACTAACAAAATAAAAAGCGTAAAATTTTACACATTTTTTAGTTAATAGTTCTTTGGTACCTTTTTTAGTTTTCGAGATATGCGCCCTTAAAGTCAAAGCAACTCATTGAGAGGAGGGGGAGGGGAAAGAAACACAGAGAAGCTAGAGTGTCTAGCTGTCTGCGTCTCACCCCCTTATATTACTTTGAAGCGCATATCTACTTTTTTTTTTAATTTACCACTACTTCTTAAATTCTTCAAATTCAATTTTGAAAAGATTTGATTTCCCCTCAAAAATTTTTTTTATCTCCAAAAATTTTTTACCAATTCCTGCATATTCAAACTTCTGATTTGAGGTGACCATTTGGAGCAATGATCAGATCCAAATGTGTTCAGAATTTTAAGAATTAGTATGAGCAATTGAAAATTAGATTTTTCAAATTCACCAAGTTCAGAGCTTCAAAATGAGCCTAAATAGTGCATGATAAAGAACTCCAAGCTCAAAAACGCTAAGCTCAACTTTAAAGGCGCATATCTCAAAACCTAGCAAAGCTAGAAAAATTTAATTAACTAACAAAATGTGTAAAATTTTAGAAATTATATTTTTGTAGTTAACAACTCTTTCTTCTAGCTCTTATATTGTTTTTTGAGATACATCTTAAATTCCAGTGCTCACCATCAACATCTACACTGGCCCCTACACCCAATACGAGAATGAGAATGAAAGCATTCCAAGACCATGGAAGCCAGAATCTTCCGAGCTAAAAAAACGTCGCGATTTGTCTCTAAAAGAAATTTGGCTTCAAAAACGGATTAATCGAAATCGAGGTGCTTTTTCGAAATTCAAGGGGATCTATGTCAGGGAGGCGTATCGAGTTTCGGATGAGGAGATAAGATTCATCTATTTGGAGAATCAGGATAATGAGTAAGGAATTTTCAAAATTCTCCTAAAACCTGGAAAACAGAGCTTCAAACTAAGTGTAAACACAATTTTCTAGCATTTTCGGTTCTCGAGATATGCGGCTTTAAAGTTTAAAGACCCATAAATAACCCCAAAACTTTCAATCCCCAAACTTCCAATTACAGTATGACTCTGAAAGCTCAAATCTCTCCAAGTGTCGGTTGGCAGCCAGTGGAATACTCCTGTTTTAACGCCACATGTTTTGACTATCTGTTTTGCTCAATGGCCACCAGATTCGGAAGTGTGAAGTTGGCTCCAACGACTCCACATCAACCATATATCCATTTGACAACTGAGAAGAGTGATGAGTTTACAATGGTTCCGGTGAAGTGAGTTTTTCGGATTTTCCAAAGTTTTTGTTAGTATACAGCTTTCTGATAGCTTTGCTGGTTCTTGAGATATGCGCCTTTAAAGTTAGCCCCCCCCCCTCTCACCGTAAAAAGACAATTGATCCGCTTGGAGGCGAACATGTCAAAGTCTATGACTGTTAGCAAAGTATAGTTAATTTTAAAATAATAAGCATAAAAATTGACACATTTCGTAAGTTTAAAACTTTCTGATAGCTTTGCTGGTTCTTGAGATATTCGCCTTTAAATTTGAGGTTAGGCATACTTTTTTTCTTCTTTGGAAGCATTTGACTTTAAAGGCGCATATCTCAAAAACTTGAATAGCTATTAAAAACTTGAAAATTACAAAAATAATATGAATGAAATTTTACACATTTCATGAGTTGTGAATTTTTTGATAGCTTTGCTGGTTCTTGAGATATGCGCCTTTAAAATTAGCACTATCGTAAAAAGATGCTTGTTCCGCTTTGAGGCGGATATTTTGAAATTCATCGAACTTAACAAAATTTTGTCAATTACAAAATAATATGCATGAAATTTGACACATTTCGTTAATTGAAAATTTTCTGGTAGCTTTGTGCGTTCCCGAGATATGCGCCTTTAAAGTTACCCCTCTCACAGTAAGAAGGAGCTTGTTCCGCATGACCGTAAATATCACAAAGCTCCTAAGATTTACTAAAATCAATAATTTAATCACTAAATTAAAAATCATAATATTCTACATGATTCTCTAGTTGTAAGCTTTTTGATAGCTTTGCGGACTGCTGAGGCATGCGCCTTTAAAGTTAGCACTATCTCTCTCATCGTCAAAAAAATGCTCGTACCGCTTGGACGCCGATATCTCAGAGCTCCTAACATTAATCAAGATGTTGTCAATTACAAAAATAATTAGCATAAAATTTGACACATTTCATCAGTTAAATACTTTTTGATTGCTTTGCGGGCTGCTGAGATGTGCGCCTTTAAAGTTATGCGCTTTCAAATTCGCTGAGAGGGGGAGAAACGCAGAGAAGCTAGTGTGCCTAGCTGTCTGCGTCTCTATAGGCTGGACTTTATAGTATGCAATGCTCTTTTTCTGCGATTTTGGGCAATTACCCAGCAATGTCTGGACTACGGTAGTGGTTGTTTTCAAAAAAAAAAACATCATTTTTATTTTCTTTATGATTTATAAATAATAGTAGAAAGAGATTACACCAGAAGATTCTTCTATTGACGTCAGAGGACTACAACTTTCGAATTTTGGAAAAGTCGATCTTTCTAGAAAATCTAAGAATACTTTATTTCGTAAAAATGGTCTTCTAGGGTGGAATTAAATAGCGTCTTGGAATCCAGAGGTTTTTTTTGAGAATTAGCCAATTTGAAATTAGGAATGCATAGAGAAAATTCAATTAAGAAGAAGTGGAAGATGAGCAATATCCATTGGCTGAGAAGTCGGTTCTGGGCTTCTTGGTTGGGCTTCTGGCACACAGACGAATGCAAAAATATAGGCTAGAACAATGCATAGGACAACAGCGACCACAAAAGTTGTCACAATGACTTCTTCGGTTTTCGTACCTTGGTTTTGTGGGAGCTGAAACTTTATATAATTCGTATGATGTAGATCATGAAACGCTCTACACAATGATATCAAAAAGTCCATTGTCTTAGGTTTTCAACTTTTCAATTAGAGCGCGTTTGCATCCCTATTGGAGAGCGTTGGAGTAGAGGTCCTTCTAAGACTCATAACTCGCTTAGAACTCAACATCTTCCTATCATTTTAATTTGTAAATAAAGCTCTTGAGTTTGGCTTCAAGATGATATAAAAATTAGCTAGTTTCAAATGATAGCCCTTCTCAAAAAATGCTGTTAAAAAGAGCTTGCTCACCTTCTGCCCCTCCTCTGGCAAATCAGCCATTTGAATGTCTTCGGCACGCATTTAACAAATATCAATGTTCGAAGTAGAAATCACTAAAAATAATAAGTGCAACGATTAAAGTTTAGGCCCCGCCCACTCTTTTTTTTTTCAGCGCACAAGTTTTCTGCGACACAGTTGACGTCAGCGAAAAGACATCTAAATCTGGGACCTTATGATTGTTTTCGAGGGAAATACAAAATGTCGTAGGGACGCATTAGTTGTCAGAATGGGTTAGTCAAGATGACAAAGGGGAGATGCGTCATGGAAAAGAGGCATATGGTCCTTTTAAAGGTGCTTGAGGACCTCAGCCCGTGGTCCTGAGGCCCCTTAGTAACCTAGAACCCTGGAACCCTGGAACCCTGGAACCCTGGAACCCTGGAACCCTGGAACCCTGGAACCCTGGAACCCTGGAACCCTGGAACCCTGGAACCCTGGAACCCTGGAACCCTGGAACCCTGGAACCCTGGAACCCTGGAACCCTGGAACCCTGGAACCCTGGAACCCTAGAACCTTAGAACCCTGGAACCTTGGTACCTTTGGGATCTTCCATTCATGTGCTTTAGACTTTCATTCGTTCCTGCTAGCTTTATAACGCTCATCTTCCCTTTTCGAACTATTTCATACTTCAGATTTTATAATTAACATTTTTATTAACCAAGGAGAACCACCTAATACAATTGAAATTGATGAGAGGAATGGGATGGGATCTATCTACCGGTGCTAAGTGAGCACTGCTAACTAGGGATAAGACACATTACAATGAGGAATCAAGGAGAATATGGCGAAGAAAAAATGATTTTCTGAATGGAACAAGCAGGGAAACGAGTATATTTGGTGTCAAAAAAATGGTGGTTAAGGGAATGAGGATGTTAGTGGTGGGATCTCAGGAAAAATGATAACAATCATTCATAGATAGTATTATTATGTGGATAGTCGTAGACAACTCCTGGTGCCTTGGCTGGCACGCTCATTGTAGAGTTCTCAAGAAGCTCCAGTGGGATGCGATGTGGCGAGTTGTTGAAGAATCCATAGCGCACGACTCCAAAGATGATGACACCGAAGAGAACGGCGAGGAGGAACATGAGAACTATGCCCTCACGACCAGTGGATTTGGTTGTGGTGGTTGGCGGCGGGAGCGGTGGCTGAAAAAAAGCTAATTAATTAGAGCGCATTTGCTTTTTTAACTCACCATCTCCACCTCAACCATTGTTCCTATTCTATCAGGACGCATATTAGCTGGAGGACAACCAAGACGAAATATGGAGAATGAGCAGGGAAGAATCCTTGCTCTGAAGCTCCGCCCCCTTCTTGGATCCTCCTCTTCTGATTCTGATTCCTTCTGACGCACGAGAATGCGGATACAAAATTGTTGCGAAAAAATTTTTCGAAAATGGAAGATTCTGACTGGACGTCAAGGGTGATAGTGCAGGAGCGCTAGTTAGCCTGGGGGTACGCTTGACTTTAAAGGTACATCTCAAGAACTAGAAAAGATAGCAAAAAGTTGTCAACTAGTAAAATATCTATTATGATCTGACGCACATTTTATTAGCGGACAGCTCTTTTCTAGATCTTGTAGTTTTTGAGATATGCGCTTCTAAAGAAAGCGAGTCGTTGAGCGCGAGGCACTTCGCATTCTTCTTTGGAACCACCCCCTTTTAAAGGCGCATATCTCAAGAACTAAAAAAGCTGGACAAAAATTGTCAACTAGTAAAATATTTACTAAAATTTGACGCACATTTTGTTAGTCGACAACTTTTCCCTAGTGTTTCTAGTTTTTGAGATATGCGCCTTTAAAGACAACGAAGCGCGCGGCGTAAAGAGGAGAAGCTTGTTACAAAAGAGACGCAGACAGTCCGACACCATAGCTTCTTTGCGCCTCATCTTTCAACTTTAAAGGCGCGTAACGTAAAACCTGTATTAAAAGAGCATCCCTCTAACAGAAGAGCCCCTCTAATAGGAGGGCCCTCCGGAGGTACCTTGTAACATTAGAAGCGCTGGCCCTTATAACTTTAAAGGCGCATATCTCAAGAACTAGAAGAGCTAGAAAAAAGTCGTCAACTACTAAAACATTTAATTTAACCTAACGCATATTTTAATAGTTGGTAACTTTTTTCTAGAATTTTTAGTTTTCAAGATATGCGCCTTTAAAGAATGCTCTGACCCTATCACTAACTACCTAGATCTATGACCCTTATAGATCGGAATTTCGAAAAAAAAGCAATCTAAATCAGAAACAAATACATTTTTTCGCAGAACGATTTTGTATTTTTTGTTAGAAATCTGTTTTGAAAGACGTCGTGCGTCATCAAGAGAGAATTCTGAAAAGGTGATAAGCTCGGAGAAGATGAATAGATGAAAATAGTACCAGTCTATTTTAAAGGTGCATATCTCAAAAATTAGGATTGTGATTAGATAGGTTGTAATTACCAAAATATCTAGTTTGAGATGCTGATCATTTTTGTAGTTGACAAAATTTTGATAGCTAGCCAAGTTTTGAAGATAAGCGCCTTTAAAAGAATCATGGCTAACTCCCAATTGGCTTTTAATGCCCTTACTTGCCTTAAAAGGGGCCCAAACTTGCCCAAAACGTGCTTCAAACTTGCCCAAACCTATTCCAGAACCTAATAATTTTCAGCGATGTCCGTCTCCATCCAACCTCTCATCGATATCCCCACACCCTTGGTGTCTGCCTCCAACCCATATTCTTCTTCACCGACTGGACCGTAATCCTGCAATTTTTCGAGTCATGGATTGCTCAGGGAGCCACAAAATTCTATTTTTATCTACACAGTTACACGTGGCAGACCAAGAGAGTCTTGGATTTCTATAAGGATTCATTGGGTGATAACCTGGAATTCATTGATTGGAGTGATCTACCGGTCCATGCGAGGGATAAGGGAAGCTACGATCGGGATCCGAATAGCAGGGTTTTTAGACATGCGGCGACTGCGTTTATGCATGATTGTATGTTGAGAGCGAGGTAAGAAATCTTGGTTTTTGAGAAATCCAAAAATTTGAATTCCGAGAAGAGCTATTAGCGTTTGAAGTTGTGTACTAGAAATTAGCGGCCTAGAAACCTGCACATTTCGAAACTAGGCCTTGTTATACATCAAAATGAAGTCAAGAGTATCAGCTATCATTTGGTATAGGGTAATTTTCAAAATTTTGATTTTGGCACAAGCTATTAAAATTTGAAGTTTGAACTTTTTTCAAGTTGAGATGGTACACCTAAACGGGTTAGTGGCCTAGAAATTTATTTTTTTTTCTCGAACTAGGCCAGGTCATACATCAAAATGAAACCTAGAACATAGGCTATTTTTTGACGCTAGCAAAACTTTTTAATATCGGTTTTGAAGAGAGTTATAAGCATATGAAGTAAGGCCTTTTTTTCATGTTGAAATCGAATCACATAATTTTAGGATTGGTGCCCTAGAAACACAAAAGTTTAAAAAACTAGATCCTGTTGTACATCAAAATAAAGTCAAGAAACTAAGCTATCTTTTAATGTTTTCAAAAAATTAAAATGTTAATTTTGAAGCGAGTTATGAGCATTTGAAGTTTAACCTTCCATTGAGATCGATACACCTGAATTTTGAATTGGTGGCCTAGAAAACGAGAAGATTGAAAACTAGGTCATATTGTACATCAAAATAAAGCCAAGAATCTAAACAACTTTTTGATCTATGAACAATTTCAAAACCTTGATTTTGAAGCAAGTTATGCGCCTTTGAAGTTTGGGCTCTTCTTTTTTCAAGTTGAGATAGAAACCACCTAAATTTTGAATTGATGGCCTAGAAACTCAAAAATTAAAGAGGCACTCCGACCAAAAATTTTTATTGCATCAAAATGTGTTAAAAGTTATCTTTTTTCACGAATATTATAGCGAAAAAATTCAAAAAAAAATCCGAAATTCTCGAAAACTCGGCGTTGAAAAAGAAAAAAAAATCACAACAGGTGCCGCCGGGGGACGAGGATCTTCAGTGAGAAACCTAGGCCACGGCAGCGGGCGCCTTTCCTACGTGGCAAATTTTCCGGATTTTTTTCAATTTCATGTCCAGCAGGTAAAAAACGTAAAAAACCACTGTC